CAGTGGGTCTACACGCAGTTACATTAGTAAGAAAGGTTTACAAAAACTGCGTCTTTGGCTTAAAGTTAAGAAATTGAATAAGCCCATTGTAAGTAAGTTAGCTAACAGTAGTGAAATGGTCATGGATCGGTACGTCGAGGGGGTCCAAGCATACTTTCGGCTCGAGGCAGAGGGGAAGGTGGAACGTGTTCTCCACTCTCTTACCTTCTTGGTGGAAGATAACTTGCCCTTTGATGTGTTCTTAGGCATGGATTGGGGTGAGGCTGCGAATGCGGATCTAAAGCTGAGGGATCATGAATGTTGGCTTCCAAGTCCGCAAGAAAGCAAAAAGAAAATTTGTCTCTATCATGAATCAGGAAAGGAAAGCAGCCTAGCTCATTGTTGCATGAGTGCCCCAGCGTCGTTCGCCATGTGAAAAGATATAACTTGCATGATCAAGTCTTTGGTGCATATGTATGCCCTGTAAAGGAGGGGGAAAGTGAGGAAGAGGTTAAGTCCCAAGAAATTGAAAGGATATTGAAAGAGTTCGCAGATGTGGTTGAAGCCCTAAGTGGTGTAGTAGAAAGACCAATTAAGCACCGCATTGACATTGTTCCAGGGAGTTCACCTCCCAAAGGGTCAATCTATTGAATGTCACCCAAAGAATTGGACGAACTGCGAACCCAGCTCGATGAGCTATTGAAGAATGGATGGATCAGACCTAGTTCCTCGCCCTATGGTGCGTTTGCACTCTTTGTACCTAAGAAGGATGGCGGTGTTCGCATGTACATAGATTATAGGAGATTAAATGATATAACGGTGAAAAATGTTGAACCATTACCACGAATAGATAATTTGCTGGATCGCATACAGGGTTGCAAGATATTTTCAAAGATTGATTTAAAATCCAGCTACCATCAGATTGAGGTAGAACCGGAGGACCAATATAAGACTGCCTTCAGGACAAGGTATGGGCACTATGAGTTCATAGTCTTGCCCTTCGGTCTAACAAATGTCCCTGCCACTTGCCAAAGAACGACGAATGAACTTTTTCGTGAATGACTTGATAAGTTCGTTGTTATTTATTTATACGATATTTTGATTTTTAGCAAAGATGAAAAGGAACATATTGAGCACCTTCGACTTGTGCTAATAAGTTGCGAGAAGCAAAACTGAAGTTAAACCCAAAGAAGTGTGAATGGGCCAAGCGTCAGGTTTTGTACTTGGGTCATGTGGTCATGTGATTAATGGAGATAGGGTCAAACCGAAAGATACAAAAATAGCAGCAATCAAAGACTGGCCGAACTCCCGCACTTTTACTGAGTTGCGGTCATTTCTTGGGTTAGCCAACTACTATCGAAAGTTCGTAAGACACTTCACGATAATAGCTTCTCCCTTTCGTAGGTTACTCAAGAAAGAGACAATTTGGAAGTGGGATTCAGACTGCACAATGTCGTTCAAGCGTTCAAAAAAGTGTTTAATCAACTACCCGGTTTTGAAAGTGGCAGACCCTTCATTACCTTTCGTTGTCACAACCGCCGCTAGTCAATATGGTATAGATGTTGTACTCCTGCAAGATGATGGACATGGATACAGACCTGTGGAGTTCATGTCTTGTCGATTACCTAATGAGAAAGTGGTCGCTTCGACGTATGAAAGAGAGTTGTATACTCTTCGTGAGGCTCTAAATCATTGACGACACTATTTTTTGGGAAGGCATTTTAAGGTATACTCCGACCATGAAACACTTCGCTGGCTCAAAACGGAAACTCGAATGACACCTAAGTTGACAAGGTGGGCTGCAGAAATTGACCTATTTGATTTTGAACTAAAGTCAGTAAAGGGTAAGTACAATGTCGTTGCTGATGCACTAAGTCGTAGATCTAACTTTTTCGGTGTCATTGTGACATATTGACATGTTGGTGTCAATTTACAAGAGAAGATTAGGAATGTGCATCCCTCTGATCCTGTCTATGGCGTGATGATTAAACGTGTACAAGAAGCGCCAGCTGAGTTTCCCAATCACAAGATTACTCAGGGTCTATTGTTTGAGAGGACTGATGTGGATGATAAACTATGCATACCGAATGTGGAAGAGATCAAGAGTATGATCTTAGGGGAATGTCACGATACCGAAGGCCATTTTGGGTGGAAGGAGACTTATGAGACCCTTTTGCGTTCCTATATCTGGCCTCGTATGAAGCCTGATTGCATTACTTATGTGCAAGGTTGCCAACTGTGCCAACGAAACAAAAGCACTACGCAATCTCCCCTTGGTTTGCTCAAGCCTTTGCCTATCCCGATAGGACCCGGAGACTCTGTATCTATAGACTTTATGGACACTAAAGTAAAAAGCACGAATGAGAAAACGCAAGTGATGGCAATTGTTGACAGATTTACTAAGTATACTGTCTTTGTAGCTTTACCTTCGGAAGCAAAGACTAACCTAGTAATTCGGGAGTTCTTTAACCGTTGGGTGAAAGACTTTGGACATCCCTTGACTATTGTAAGTGACAGAGATACAAGGTTCACAAGTGAACAATGACAGCAACTAATGAATGTCTATGGTTCTAAGCTGACTATGTCATCAGGTAGACATCCTGAGACTAACGGCCAGACTGAGCAAATGAACAAGATCTTACAGCAGACATTGTGCATGTATATTCGTCCCGACCAAATCGATTGGGATGAACATTTGCCTAAGGTTGCAAGTGCCTACAATAACTATCTACACTTGTCTACATGTAAAAACTCCTATGGAGTTACATTTGGGATGGAAACCACGTAGACCGATTGACCGCCTGAACCCAGATCAAGTGCATAAGCTTCCACCAGGGACAAGTGAATTCGCAATCCAATATCAAAAAGATATCGAAAAGGTAAAAGAGAATATAATCAAAGCAAAACATCAAATGATTGAACAGGCGAATAAGCACAGACGACCATCTCAATTTGCTGTAGGAGATTTGGTTTGGGTGAAGTCTAGGGAATTTACTCATGAAGAGAACATATCTCAAAAACTTATGCCCGCCTACAGAGGACCTTGGCAGGTCTTAAATGTGATTGGAGATGTAGATGGTCCCTCGTATGTCATTGAGACTCCTTTGCATCTACATACCTATCCAGTGTTCCACGCATCAAAGCTCTTACCTTGTGTAACGAATGAGCTATTTCAAAATCGCAGATCAGCGATACCTCCCAGTATGAATGGAAAATATGACGTTGACAATATTATTGTCGAAAGTACCTTTCACACTGGTCGTAGAGGCAGACCCCAACGTCAATATAAGGTCAGATTTGCATACCAGGATCCCATTGAAGATCGCTGGTTTACAAGAGAGGAGTTATTGGATTCTGCACCTCATATTGTGGCTGCATATGAGAAAGCAAAGAAAGGAGTCAACATCATTAATAGATAAATGATTTCTTAGAGGACCTCGAAACTAGCCTCATGTTACTTCCATCTATAGGATGAGCAAAACCGAATGAATCTAGCGGTAGAAAACGGTTTGTTTGTTTTTGTATGTGTGTGTGTGTGTGTGTGTGTGTGTGTGTGTGTGTGTGAGAGAGAGAGAGAGAGAGAGAGAGGGACAGACAGACAGACACACTCACACACAACATTTATATAAAAAAATTGTTGTCTTTGTTGTTGGTTTTTTTTTTTCCCACCTGTAATCAACACCCCCCCCAAATTTGACTTTTTTTTCTTTTTTTAAGTTGATAATGGTGGGGGACGCCATATGCAGTCATATGTCCTGACAAAAAACATAAGCAGTCTCTCTCTCTCTCTCTCTCATTTCCATCTTTACCTCACTGAGGCTGTCATATGTCCTGACAATGTCCTTTGGAACATCCATTTCATGGAACGTCACAAAGAACAAAAGCAATGCCCCTGCGCATAAATCGAGAAATGCTCCAAATTACTAAAAAAAACATATGTCCTGTGAAATCTCTCTCTCTCTCACACACACACACACACACACACACACACACACACACACACACACACACACAGTCCAACTTTCACCTCTCTCTTTGCCTCTCTTCGCCTTCCTCACTCACATCTCCAGTCTCTCTCACTGCGTGCAAGATGCATGTGTAGCGTCTGTGTGCACTTCTCCGTTTTCCCCTCTACGAAGGATAGAGAACAAAGAAAAGTCCATCACGAAGTCTGTTGAAATTCTCGACACAGTGAAGAGAAACATTGCACCAGCACAAAACTGAAACACATAAATTGAGCAACAACAATCTCTCTCTCTCTCTCTCTCTCTCTCTCTCTCTCTCTCTCTCTCTCTCTCTCTCTCTCTCTCTCTCTCTCTCTCCCCATTCCCCCTCTTTCTGTATTACATCAGTCGCTCTCATCGCCCTCTCTCAGTGAAGCCACTCTCGGTGTCGCCCTCTCTCTCCTTCCCTTGCTCTCTCCACCTACCTCCCTCTCTGTCTCTCTCGAGCACAACTATTACCATGATCGAGATGCATGAGAATGGTTGAAAAACTGATGGATAAAGCTCGTCCGTCTGGTCATTCTCACGAGCTGCCCGTACTGCCGTAGGGTTAGGTTTGGGGCAGTGGGTGAGGATGGAGCAGATGACGTAAGAAAGGAAAAGAGGCCCCGTGGAAACTTCCCGGTCATTTCTGATAGCGTCACCAGGCCCAGCACCAATATGGTTCCCACATCTGGCCACCCGAGTTTATCCGTCTCAGGGCATACTCACACCAGCTCTACCTTGAACATATCAGCCCGCACTTGCAGCCGAACCAGGATGCATCTGACTGCAATTACGTCCGTAAGTAAAGAAGTCCTGGTGTGAGTATGCCCGTGCCCCTGACGAAAATGCCTGGCAGCCCTAGTGAAGGAAAAGTCCTCGCGACCGTTGATTCCGCCACAGACGTGGCAATGTCACAGCGAAAACAGAAGAGAAAAGCAGTGGTCATAAGATCCCGTCCATGGCCCTCATCGATATCAGTGGACCCAAGAGGGAGGATGAAGGAATGAGAACATCACAAAAGGGAGACTCGAATGCATATGCGCCGTTTCATTATTTATTTCTGATTTCATGAAATTCTCCAAAAGAGAAAAACACAATCTGTCAGACAGATGTCTGATCTCCAAAGAAACGTTCCACGGCATTCCCTCCAACAGATCAATGGATCCACACACAGCCCTCCCTTACGGCCCACCTTGTAAAATTTCTGCAAAGGTCCAACGAATCGACTGCGATCCCAGGAGAACAGCAGTTCTCCTTTCACACCAAAAGACACCGAACTTTGCAACACCGCGGCCGGATTGCGCAATGGAAAGGCCAGTGGGATGGGTGAACCCCAAAGTCAGCCAGTAACTACACCTGTGGCCAAGGACAAATGTATTGTTGTGAAGATATGCTTGCTTGCCCTCCTGCCATAAATACGCGGCACGAGGAGAGAAAAGCTCTGCACTATGCCCCATCCCTATATCTACACCAATGTATAATACCTACAAGTAACTAAGGAACAGGTAGAACAAGGAAAAGAAAAGGGAAAGAACTCACGTAGAACAAGGGGAGATGATGATGAGTGAATCTCACCGCACATGAGAATCAAGAGAGATTATATAACAAACACAAAAGGTGAGATCAGGTTGCAAACAGGAGGCAAGGAAGACAATGTCTGCATTACAGTAACATCGACCAAGAGGGCAGGCATGTCCAACGCAAATACTCTAGAAGACGGAGAGGGAGAGTGGTTCAATCTATGTGTGAGTGATTGAGAGAGGGGCAGGGAGGGAGGAACTGAGAATAGGGTGAGATGACAGATAGACATGGTATCACTGGCTACGAGAACTGGCACAATCCGCTACTCTCATAGACAAGCTTAGCGATGCGTCATCCGTATCCATCGAGTCACCAGGCAAAGCATTAAGACTGGGCAGCGGGAACCGTTGGGCCAACGACCGAGGCCGGTTGGTTGCAGCCACGGTTTCATCCATGATTGAGAACGGTTCTCTCACTCCCGTTTCTCCAATCCCCCCCCCCCCGCCGCCTACATTCACCCCCAGGCCTCCTACCCCTCCTCCACACGTCCCCCCGCTGGCGCCACCACCAGCTTCCATCGAGAGCGATGAAGTCGGTCTACCATCTCGAGACGGCGGAGAAGGGACTGTGCATCCGCCACCGCCTCGATCCGGAGATGCTCTCTGAACCCGTACATTAGGCAATAGCGTGGCAGTCTGCCGCTCACTCATCACTTGAGTGCCTGCATAAATTCCACCACCTCTTTCTGAACCCCCACCGCTGGCCCCTCCTCCCCCTCCTCCTCCAACCCCCATTGATGAGCTTTCCACACAGGGCACAGGGAAGAAGATAGGCGGCGAGAAGTTTGCTGGGAGGGTGGGGAATGGTGGCAGCACCGCTCCGCCCTGGCCACCTGAAGACCGGACATCCCCCGCTGTCTTGCCATTGCTTGCTCCTTGTGACGCGTTGTTGTTGGCCATCCGGGGTGGCGGTATGCAGATGCTCCCACCACTTGAGGCTATTGGCAACAACCCCTTGAGAGAGAGTAGCTGTTGCATTGCCTGCGCCTTGTTCCACGAGGGCTTGCGCATACCCTTCTCCTTCAAGTACCTCCTACACTCCTCACGCGTCAGTTCCTTGATGTCGGCATCTGTGAGTTCCTCAAGTGGTCGATCTTTGACAGCTGGCTTCTCCTTCGCATGGTGATTAAACCGCCTCTCCTCACGCACTCTCTGCTTCAGGGTTGCATCAGTCAGCTCTTCCAAGGATGTCCAACCCCCTCCCCCTACGCTCCCACCTCCACTCGTTGAGTTGGGAGCTCGTCGAATACCCATCAAATATGTTTGACACTCCTCCCGCGTGAGCTTCTGAATGTCAGAATCTGTCAACTCCTCGATTTGCTTGAGAGATTCCGTCTGCTGACGTGAGTAAACATGCTCGCTTCTCAAGCCACCACCAGAACCTGCCGCACCGCCGCTGCCTCCAATGACACTACCTCCTCCTCCTCTGCCTCCTCCACCTACTACCTTCTCGCTCCTGTCTATCGTCCCAATCCGTCTATCATCATCCATAGCCCCTCCTCCTCTATCTTCTATCTTCAGACCCCTGCTCACGTCTCCACTGTTTACCGCCAAGGAGGGCCATCCGCCCGATCCCAAAATAGCAGCCCCGGCTACCCTGCTCCCCTGTCCGCCTGCAGCTCCCCCTGCATATCCTACCCCGACCCCTCCCGTTGTTCCCACTGCCGAGCTCGACGACGAAGACGAAGCAGGCTGAAACCGTTTTGTTTCATCTGCACTTCTAGATGACAACGGCCTCCTCACCCCCGTTTGGTAAGTTGATGCGATGTTGCTCGCCACTTCTGCTGCGATCTCCAGGCCTGAACGTAATGATGAGCTCCCCAAACCTATCATTCCAGACAGTCCACCTTGATCACCAATTCCTCCCCCTATTCCTATCCCCTCCCCTGCACTTCCAAACCCCTGTAGACGCTTCCCCAAACCACTCCCTCCGTCCAGTGACCCACCACCTTTCTGTGCTTCTGTAAACATTGCCTGGATAGCATCATGAGCAGCATCCCTCACAGCCTTATTCAGAGCATCCCCACGAAGAGGATCTGGATTCCCCCTGTAGTGACACAGACTGCGAATGGTTGCTGAATGCCGCTGGATTTCGATCTTCAATTCAGGACCTCCCTTTCCCACCACAAACTTCATCACCCTTAAGACCTTCTGCTTCACGACAGGCGATTTGTGATCCAGTCTTTTCATCAAATGATCAGTGATTTCCCCAACAACGTCCCCTGGCGACGTGCGTAACAACTCAGAGATTTCCTCCAGCTTATACACTGGAGTGACATCATGGTCGTCTGACGTGGCTCCTTCAATCATCCGCGATCTCTTGAAAGCCTCCACTGCCTGCATTGTCATCTCCGCCGCGGAGTCCGGAGGGCTGAACATTTTACCTGCCGCTTGCCTGACTACAAGTTGAAGATCCACTCACAACCTCAAAGCTTCTCTAACACGTCAGCAGACGTTTGCCAGACTACGATCAAGTCTGGCCTGGTCCCTCACCAAAAAATATCGATGAGATATGCTGGCAAAGATAGCAGTGCTGCCTCTCTGACATGCTCCATGAAGCCCTGCTGGAGGTGTGAAAACATCACCCGGCCTGTGGACACAATCAACATTTCTCAGCAGTGTCCGTGCCTACCAAGACAAGGTTGATGTTGCTTCCACAGTCTGTCTGAGACGCTTACCCAAAGTACCAGTGAAGTCCCTTAGGTGGTCATTACTTCCTTAGGTGGCCCAGCTTCGACACAGTACCTCGTTCAAACTGGAAGTTTTGCAACTGGTTGGTACACTTCATCGAAAACAAGAGAGAGAAAAAAACATGCAGAGAGGATAGAACAATATCATGCAATCATTGGTTGCCAGTACTGGCCCAAATTTAGCACTTGGTCATCACAAATGAGCTGCAGCTTCTTCTGGGTTGATCACAAAACCAACCCAACCTATACCAAGTGGAACCAGGGGAAAATAAACACAAGTCTAAACAATGCATGCATGATATTGCGTACTTTCACCTTTTGGACCTGTCAACAACACGCTCGGAATAAGGAGATTCTCTGCATTTCCGAAAAAGGAAAGCAGAGAGTACGCACTGCAGATTACCCCGCTGCAGTTCGGGAGGGATGGCCTGCTGCCTATCGATGGCACTACCGTACACGACCGAAACGAACTAGCTACGTGAGGATACCAATCCACAAATGAAACTTCAAAACACTATTTGATCAGCCAATAACCAGTCGTCCTGGTCATTGTGACGAGGCCTGCAGGGTGATCAGAATCAAAGTGGAAGAGATGCAAATATCCCTCCTGTTAAAGTCCACACTGTGACAAATAGACAGACTGGCAGAACACCTCCACAGTTTGACAACGTGGTTCATTTCCCACAGACTACTATTACAATGCCCAGAACTTCAGAATAATGCCAGCTCTCCAGTCCTGCAAAGATCCTCTCTCCCTCGCTCTTTGCCTGCATTCTGTTTCCTCCCAATCACAAAGGTGCACACATGCACGCCCGCCCACCCCTACACACACAGACACACACAATCAGTCATATGTATGTTCGTCTTTCTCATTTTTGTACATGGCTGTGCCGGCAACCAGCCGGTTGGATCCAACCGGGCCGGTTGGACCCCCGGTGGTCCAACCGGAATTCCGGTTGGGTCCAAAAGTGGGTCAATTTTTTTTATTTTTATTTTTTTTTGAAAACATGGTTGGACTGCGCTCACCGAGATCTCCCCGAATCCGCAAAGAAAACTTTGAACACAGAAGTTTCGTTTGGGAGGTTGGGGGGGG